TGCTTCCCAGCGATAAGACAGGTTTACAGGCAGCCAGATTCCCTCTCGAGCTCTGACTAATAGTATAGAGTTGTGAGAATTAAACATAGAAGCATTAACACAAGAAAATAGCTTACAATTTTGGCATGTTACTTTGGAGTTAATAAAATCAATCTGTAACTTTCCCACCACCAAAAGATAAGGGGGTTTAACACAACTCTGTATCCAAAGAGTTTTATTTTTTACAATTTTGAATGAATGATAATTACTGGAACAGGATCTAGTATAGTTTCTTTTCCAGACCTTTATTGGTTTTAGGGCCATACGTATTTTCCACAGTTCCTTCTGTTCAGTTCACACTGTTGGCCAAACCACTCTTGGCCTAGGTTTTGTTATGCCCCCAACTCTCCAAGCAATAGGGGTGTTTGTCTCAGTGCGCATTGACTCAGGAGTGTTACTATTTTTTACGTATCACCTAATTGACTCCGTGTCACAACAAGAGGGCTGAGTGATGCAATTAATGCTAGATATTCCCTAGGGGACCAATCAATAATAATTCCATGGGAATCACTGCACAGCACCTCAACCTCTGCCGCCACACAATCTTCCCAAATTAATATTTTTGACTTAGAGGACCATTCTTCATTTTGTCTACATTCAGGTCTAGGTGGGCAAAATATTGTTGTTTTATTTCCCAAATTATCATAAGAAATACCAAGGCCAGAAATCATATACAACTTAGCTCGAGTGTGTTTTTTTTTTCAGGTACTATGGCTAGCCATGCCTGAATTTTTTATTTTAAACATCCTTTAGCTGCTCTTAGGCATAGGGTAGATGTTCAAAACCAAGAGAAATATTCATCAAAGTACCTTCTTCTTGAGGATAAGACAGGCCATGATTATCCATCAGCTCCAGCATCCACAAGCTATCAGTAGTGTATACATCTGCCAAGGGGACGGAAAGGAATATATGCCCAAAAGTGAAATTTCCGTTTACTTCTGTAGTTAAGTGAAGCAGTGGGAGTGGAGAAGGAGCAAAGACATCTGTAACTGGTCGTGATCAATTAGTTGTAAACACCGCTGCTCTCGGATCAGCCATGCTTGATTTTTTTTCTACATTCTTTCTTTGTATGGCCTCTCCTTCCACAATTAATACAAACTTAAAGGAAAGGCATACATTCTTTGTTTATTTTTAAACCTGCTACAGCTTATGCATGTAAAGGAACCCATGCACCAATGCCTGTGAGCTGTTCCGTGGTAATATTAATTGGAGACAGAGTGTTGGCATTCATATTAGCTTGAACATTAGCCTCGTCAGCCCACCAGATCTTAAATTGTAGGAATTAAGAAAGAGATAGGCAAGCCGGAGTTAAAGTGTCCCAGTCAGCAGGAATTAATTTATGAGAGGTGGCCACATTTTTTAATAGTCCCATAACAAATGGAGATCCTACTTATCTTTGGATATAGCTAAATTAAATGAGAATTTAAACAATGGCTTGTTTAAATTTTTTTTTAAGTTTACGTGGAAAAAGCTCAAATGTTACCTGAAACTGTTCTGTTGATTTGGGGTTATATCACAACAGGAAACTGACAAGCCTCTAAATCCCTGTCTTTACTATGAGCCTGCTGAATTCCAGCCTGAACACACCCAGTTACTGCTGTGGAGGGTGTGTGTACAGCCACGGGAGCAACAAGTTTCACTTCGAAACAGCCTCCGATTCCTGTAATGTCAGGTGGATCTGGCCACTCCTCAGTGAAATGCTGAGGAGGGACTGACGGACAATCTCCTTCCTTTTCCTCATTTATTCTTTCTTTTTTCTTAACTGGGTTATCTTTAATTTCCTCATCCCAGTTATATTCTCCTTCTTCCCCTGAATCTTCCTTCTTATAATCAGTTTGAAATGGCTCTAATGCTGAATGCACCACTGCCCAAACTGACTGTACTGGGATTGGAATATCCTCAGCTCCTTCTTTATATGCCTTTTTAAAAGTAATACCCACTTTTTTCCATTCTTCTATGTCTAGAGTTCCCTGCTCAGGAAACCAAGGGCAATGTTTTTCAACTGCCTTAAAAAACTGTGTTATGCGGCTAGTACTAACTTTAATTCCTCCTCTTCTAAGCAAATAATGAAGCAAGCTAAGATAGCCTTCGTGTTTGCTTGAAGCTTGTCCCATTGTGTCCCTGACCTTCCAAGCTCCCCCAACTTACCCTGGGAGATTTTTTCAAGAGTTCTCAGGTATCCTTCAGCTTAAATTTATTTCTCCTTTTTCCTGTCACTCAGGCAACCCTTTGTCCCTGGTTTGAGTTCCACGCTTGGGCGCCACTTGCCGAGACCAACTCGGTGGAAGAGACCCCAACCCGTGCGGTTCTGAAGGAATTGAGAAGCAGAAACAAAGATACAGTGCAAAAGTGGGATCAGAGTGGGACCGTCAGGAGGCTGACAGCATTTCCAAGCTGACAGCCCAGAGCAGACTCTGACCCATGTATTTATTCTTTGTGAACAAGTGATTATTTTTAATAAGCAGATACTCAGTGTTTCTTCAATAGAATAAAGATTGACTAAACATGCAGATAGTGCCTGTTCACTGCTAAAATAGAAAGAAGCTAGAAAGCACTCTTTGTGAGTCAGCAATGGGGACAAGGCCAAATATCCTGTTTTGGGAGCTGGTTTAACTAGTGCATGACTGGTACAAGCTGCTTACTATTCTAGCAGTTTTCCGCCTGGGGATGGTTCAGTGTTCCTTGCCATCACCTCTCAGCAAACAACATATACTCCATCACACATGTCAAGACCTCCTCCCAACAGGACATAAGGGCAAAGAGTAGCAGGGGCTGCCTACCTACCCTCTTTGCCCTTCACATAGGCTTTAAAGGATTACTGTAGGGATTTGAGCTTGTTAAGTAAAAACTCTGGGAGGCCATTGTTTTGGACTAAGCTCCTGCACTAGGTCCCAATAGACTAGACTAAACCAAAATGGAGTCTGTCATAGTAAAGTTCCATGTCCTCAAACCTAAACTAAGTTGTTATCTGACCTTTGAGACTCCAGGAGAGAGAGTTAGCAGCCAAATTCCCCAACAGGCCAGTTTCAGTTGGCGTGATAATGCAGACAATAACCATGCTCATTAAAGTTCTCTGTGTTTGAATCAGTATAAAAAAGTAACCTGAAGAAACCTGATGTCAACCACCCTGTTCTGGCCTTATATGGAAACTAACTTAGAAATTACCACTCTGGCTGGGCACAGTGGCTCACGCCTATAATCCCAGCACTTTGGGAGCCAAGGTGGGTGGATCACAAGGTCAAGAGATTGAGACCATCCTGGTCAACATGGTGAAACCCCGTCTCTAACAAAAATACAAAAATTAGCTTGTCATGGTGGTGCATGCCTGTAGTCCCAGCTACTCGGTAGGCTGAGGCAGGAGAATTGCTTGAACCCAGGAGGTAGAGGTTGCATTGATCTGAGATTGCGCTATTGCACTCCAGCCTGGGTAAC